ATTAATATTTTAACATTTTATCACCCTCTAAAACAGTTTATTTGAAAAATGAACTCAAGATTTATTATTGTTTTCCTTTAGATTATTATTGTTAAATCTTTTCTTGTATTAATTAAAAGACAATCAAATGTGAACGTGGTTCACTGGGCAATGTTACATTTTGATCTTTAATGTCTTTGTTGTTGGATTCAATTTATTTTAATAGGAATTAGAGTAATTTAACATGTTTAATGAAGTAGGGGATGTTATTTAATTAATTAGTTAGATTAGTAATAAAATCTATAATGTTTTCTTATTTATTAAACATTAGTGTTTGTATTGCTCTTTTTCTTACATCTCCTGGATGAATAATATTATTGGGTATAGATACAAATAATCTGAATAGTAAACTAATGAATTATTCAATAATTGATGTGTAGACTGATTAAAATGGTAAATTATTGTAATTTAGAATAGATTACTGAATTAATTCTACAATAGTATATAATTAAAAAATAGGTTTAGCCTTATATGGAGTTTAAGTATAATCTGAATACAAAAGAATATTTTGACCAACAATATTCTTGGAAGTACATTCTAAGATCTCAATGATTAATTTAGATGATATTAAATTTAAATGATAGTGTTCTTTAGAGTCTTCTGAATATTCAACGTTCTTAATTAAATTCTTAGATAAACTCTTCAATAAATCTTATAAATATGTTATATGAGGTATGTCTTCAATTAAATATTAATAGGATTAAGATTCTGATTATAAAAATTGACTAACACCACATTCATGATCTACAGCTTTTTTAAAGATCTGTAAAATTTGATTACGTAATGTTGCAATTAATAATTTATAAGATTTTTCAGTTGTTTAAGAATCACAATAATCATTTTCAGCATCAATCAATTTATATATTTTTATCATATCTTCATTTAAATGTTCATAATTAAATATGTACATAAAACCACAATTACAGAGACAAATATCTATTGCTTGAGTTAAGAATAATCCCAAAAGCACCCAATCTTATCGGTATTTTAAATAAAGTTATTGATCCTCTTTTTTAGCTAAAGCCTTAATTTTATTAGAATAATTTTTGAGTTGATCTTCAATTATTTTGAATAAATGTTAAGAAATATTATGATCATATAATTCTAATAGATTTCTTAAGACTTTAAACATCTCATTTTGCAAAGCTGAATCAAATGTTCTTAAAGATGATTACATTAAATTTTATAGACATTTCTAATCTCCCATAGTATCAATTAAAAATCCAAGATCTCCATTTTTTGTATAATTTTCAAATTCATCATCATTTTTACGCATTGGTTTAAACAATACATTGAATAAATTATTATTAAATTAAGGTTTATTTTAATTATCTTTAATTAAATATTACATCAAATTTAGTATATACTTTTATTCTTCTTAATTTCTGAATGCTGATAAATATAAAGATTAAAATAAAGTTTATATCTCTTAATTACCTTATTAAACATGTATCTTCAATTATTCATTATCTTCTTCTTAAAATGAATTTAATGTAATAACATAATTAAAACAATTTCTAAGAGTATTTAATAAATTTTCAACTTTTTATTTACATCCTCTAAGTCCATTTGGTTATACTTTTTATAAAGACACCCATAAATCAATAAGAATCTTACATAAATCATTTGAATGGAATGAACTCTCACATCCTAATTATACTCTAAATTTCAATCTTTCTTATATCAATTCTATAGTATTATATGTAAGATCAAAATAATGTCTTAAAATCTATTATTAATTTGGTAATTTAATTAACATATATTCAGTTTATATGTTTTTTGAAGTCATAGCTGAAAATAAATTAATTAATTTTCCAGCAAAACATTCTACTCCTGCTATTACTTCATGTTCAAAAAATGGAATGAAATAAAATTTATTACAATCACACAACCATTTAAATATTTTTATAGCTCCATCTAAAAATTATAAACTTTAATAAGGTTAATCAAATGTTCCTAATAGTCTAAATTCAGATTTTAATTCTTCATGAATACCTTTTTTATGTTCTCCTACTCCAAAATATTCTTTTAATTTATTTTTATCAGGATCTTAATTGATAGCAACAAATTTCAACTTAGTATGAAATGATTCTCTAATAGCTTTAGTTGTATCTTTAGCCAAAAATAATTCATAAGGTTCTAATACTCCTGCTAAGAGAATTTGTGATAATCTGAAATCTGCACTAAATCTGGTTTTCTCTGTATTTACAAACTTAATAAAGCGAGCATTAGGAGCTATAAGTCGATCTGCCAAAAATAATCCTTTATGTGTATCATTATATCTCAGAACTATGATTATTTTCAAATTTTACTATTGATGAAGATATGAGACATAATAGTGATTTCAACTTCATGTTCTATTATGTCATCCAATTTAGTTACAGACATGATGTATAATAAGGCTTCACTAAAGAATTCATTATTCATCAAATGACTAACAGCTGCACAATTTTAAGTTATTTCATCCTATTCCTCAGTATATTATTATAATTAACCTAACAATGATATCAATTCATAATCATAATCAGAACCTAATAGTTTAATGTAAATTTAATCCATTAAATTTATTAAAACTAATGATGATTTTATTAAATTTAATAATTATATATCATTGTTTTTGGTTAATACTCTTATAATCAACTTTAGGGCTGTAGTTTCTTGAAAAATAACCACTATGCCCCCCTTAATTTATAAAATACGATAAATCAATTAACAACACAAACTATAATTCTAATTAAGCACCATCATAGCAGCAATATATTTCATAAATTACATCTATTTAAACCACATTGCATTTGCATATGTAATACATAAATCTTTCATTTATAATATTTCTTTAACTAATTTAAAATTAGCAGTCTTTGTCTTCTCAGCATCAAATAAACAATACATTAATTCTCTTTGTTTATCACAATAAAAATCTTTCTAAACAACAAATAAAAATAAATCTAATCCAACAAGATTCTCAAATTCCCATTAATATGGTAAATTATTTAATAAGAAATCCATAGTTCCTTCATCATTAAATGCCAATTTCCCTTAATATACCAAATCAATCATATTCTTTAATTTTCTAAATCTCACATAAATTTATAATCTATTTAATGCTACATGACAAGCTTATACAATTTTTTCATCTTCACTTTTTGATGCTGTATAAGCCAATAATTAAAATCCATTAAAATTACTAACTTATTCATTTGTAAATTATTATTATTCTTAAGTAATAGATTTACTTTTACTCCTACTTCTACTTCTACTCTTTTTCTTATTTTTCTTTTTCTTACCCTCTTTATTTTCTTTCTTTTTCTTTTCTTTATCTTTCTTTACTTTCTTCTTTTTCTTAGGTGATTTCTCAGAATCTTATGTTTTTATTTCAACATTTCTTGTTATTAATTCATTACAAAATTCTACATGATTCATACAATTATATAATGTTTCAATCACCTTTAATTTAAAATAACTAGGTGATTATTATTTTTCAATTAGAAATTCTAATAATTTATTTAAACCTCCTTTATCTAAAAATAATAAAGCATGATATTTTGAACTCAATAATTATATTATAATAGGAAATGCTCTAATTGCTGATGAATAAGATGCATGAATAGCAAAATTAACTGAATCAACAAGTGAAGTTGGTAATAATTTATAAATACGATCAACATCATTAAAATGTGCAGCTGAATGTATATCTGCTTTTGAATGTTTTAAATGTTTAGTTAAAACTCTATGCATTTATTCCAATTTCTCATGATATAATGATACTAATTATTTATCTACAAAATCATAGTCTTAATCTATAGATTTTAATTCCTTAGCTAATATTTCTATTTATTTTTATGATTCTTATTAATTGAATTATTTATCTTCAAGTAATAATTATGGTTGAATATTATCTACACATAAATGATAATTCTCTTAGTTATATATATGATCTAAAACTTCATTTCTTTATTTAATGATTTACTAATAGATTTTATTATCAACTGGTTAAGTAATTGCGCGCACTCTTTAAATTCTAGCATCAATTACATCATTTAATTCCTATAATCCAATATTCTTACCATAAGATGGATTGTAACTTTAAATAGAATGTCCTGACATTATTTCACCATACATGCAAATTGTAAGTCGTTTATATTATCCTCTAAAAACTATAAAATCGGTGATGTACTATTATTAATAATATAATATACTGGCTATTCAAGTGTAATCAAGATATCACAATTATTGGATGAGATTTCAGGACTTCCAAAAAGAAGTTGATATCTCGATTATGGTTTATTGGTTTAATAAGATTTTGCAAAAATCTCCAAATTACGAATAGGCTCTTCACTTTGAGTAATTGTAATTAATTTTTTCAGATTCTAATGTACATTATAACCAGGTTTAACAATTCTTATCAACTAAACCTTTACAAGTGATTAGAATATAATTTCATCACAGACCTTTCCTTCTTTGACTTTCTATCTTGTTTGATTCTACCCACTTTCCAAATGCTCCAAATTATCAAAGTATAACAATTATACAAAGTGATCCATAGGATAACTCATTATTAAAAGATTTTTAATTAAAATAAATAAATAGCTTCCTTTAATTACAAGTAACAAAAGAAGCTTAAAGAACACATATAATTAGAATTAAAATAGAGACAAAGGCAATTAAATTGATGCCCAAAAATTCAGAATTACTAAGATTTATTTAAAAAAATGAAATATTCATCAAAGAGCATCGCCAAAAATTGAAATTTATGATATCAACGATGTGATCAAAGATTTCAAGATTTCGAATTTAAATATTAAAGAAAACTATTTCAATCCCTTATTTGATTTAAATAAAGTGATAAAGGAATCTTTTCACATTCAAGAATTCTTTTTAAAGTTAAAAAATTCTTATTGACAATAAAGAATATCAAAAAGCGATAATTGATTTAACTAGTGCTTTGAATAGAAAACTTAATGATGCATATATTTACAGGAGAGTATTTGCATATTATAACAACTAAGTATTCAAAAAAGTATTATTGATCTTTGTCAAGCATTTGAAAACAAATCATATCAAAGTTATAAATCAGATATTCATTATAATTTTGTAATTCAATTTGTCAATCTTGATGTATTTGACAAAGCAATCTAACTACTTACTAGTGCTATAGAACTACAAAATATGAACCTGCTTATATAAATGAAAGAGTAAAGTATTATTGGTTAGTATATAAAATTACATTAAAAATAGATAGATTTTATGAAATATATCAATTGCAATTATGGAGATGAATATAGATGATATTATATTCACACTTATAATTTAATATGTTAAATAATGTTAATAAATAAATAGATTTAATTGAAAACTTAATAAAGAGTTTGTAAAAACTATAAATAATATTATGGGTAATAATAATTAGTAATCATTTAAGTATTTAATGATTATAAAAAGTAATTTTATTGAAATTACAATTAAAAATATCTAAATTACTAAATTTGAACTATTAAATGAAATATTGTGATATTGAAAAATGAAGAAATACATCCATTTTATCATAATAAATGAATTATTATAAAGTTGGCTCTTATTTTATTAAATTACTATCTTAATAAATTACAACATAAATTATTTCATATAATTTTTTAACAATTATTATATTTTTGATACTTAAGTCTCATTCATAAATTATTTAATAAATCTCACATTCAACAACATTTGGTTCCATAGCACCTAATAGATGTGTTGAATATTTTGAAGTGTCAACACCTGCAGGGGCTTTATATCCAACTCCTAATCTAGAATATCCTGATTTAAAATCAGGATTTATTCTTAAATCTTAATCACCACTATCCGCACCTCCAAATAATATATGTTGATGATTAAAATATTATGTATACTTTCCCATATTTTATATAATTGGATAAATTTAATTTTAATTCTTCGAAAATAAAAAAGAAGGATTGTTTTCAGTAGTTCCAGAATACCCACCTTCATACCAATTATATGGAGTAAATACACCAAATTCAGTATTATTAGAAGATTTAAAAAACCAAAGTAAATTTTCCTTTCCAATTATCACCTTCCTAATTGCTTCAAATGTTAATTCATTTTCTAAGCTTCGATATATTGGTTTTTTTTATATTACTTGCCTTTTAACATTGTTTTCAATAGTATTCATTAATAACATCCAAAAAGGATTTAAAAATTAAACATAATCTAGTTCCACCTTATTTATTAATTTAAATATATCTTCAAATTTCTCACTTTTACAAACTCTAGAATAAACACATAAAATACTTTTTAGATACCTTATCATTTAGTAGTTCTAAATTTTGTAAATCTTCTTATTTAGCCACTTAATTCATAACCTTTATAGATTAAAAATAATTGTAAAATTTATTTTAAATTTATTAGATGATCTCAATCTTAAAACTATTATCTTGATTTACAAGTAATTAAAAGTTTGATTTAAATTCATCTAATTTGATTATCTTATCTTATTATATTTAAATACCTTATAACAATTAGTTTTCTATTCTTACAATAATTCTGATAGCCACTATTCTAATTAAATTAATAAGTTATCAATTTCTTATTTTATTACTTCCATTTGTTCTTTTTAATCGTTTAAGAATTTAACTAAATTTGTTTTATCTTTAATATCTGTAAATTAAAAGGCTTTTTCTGGATGATCATTTATCTAAATAACAATGATAGTTTAACTTAAACAAGATCTACAATTTTATTAGCATCAAATTATTATTTTGTTTTAATTAGATTTAGAAGACAACTGCCACAAATTAATCTTGCATCTTCTTTCCTTAATTCTAGTAAATTTAGGATTTAATAGCTATGTGTTGGACAAAATGGTAGATTATTATACATGTTTGAATTCTTTTATTTATTAATATTATAATTAATGAATATTCTAAATAATAAATAATAGATTTATATTTAATGAATTTCTATCATTATTATAATATATAATAGATGAAGAAATATAAAATGTTTATAAATAGAAAAGAATAAATATAAATTTATTTTCTTTTTTCAAAATTTTTAATAAACAATGTAAGGAATAATTGAGATAGATCCAAAAATTATATTGGAATTTATGGCTGAAGAGAATAGATTTGCTCATGCTTAATTAACATTATATAATGTATAGTCTTAACAAATTGCTTTTAAAGTAAAATGATCTATTATAATATTTTAGATAAAAACTACAGTTCCTTAAATGTTTTAAGTAAAACCAAGTGTAGGATTTATTGATGGGAATCAATCATAAATTGTTGAAATATCTACAACTTAAGCAATTGGATTAGATTAAAAGTTTGATGCAAAATTCTAAATAAATGCTTGTATTAGAGATTCAAATGAATAAGGTACATTGTGTGAATCTAACTGAGATTTGAATTAATTTTGGAGAAGTAGAGACTAATCAACGATTCAAACAACTTAACTTAAGAGTAAATTGAAATATCAAAATGCTCAAGATCAATAGAATCAATAATAATAATAATAATAATAAACTATAGGTGATTCAAAGATATTAGAATCTAGTGTATTTAATTCATCTCATTCTGAATCAAGAATGTTCAAATCTATCAAAGATGATAATTAAAAAGATGAATTAGTGAAACAATATAAGGATCAACTTGAAAAATTAGTAATAATATAAATATTTCTTAGACTTAAGAATATTAATTCTTTAAATAAAAAGTTTAATAGGAGTAATTCAATAGTTTATAGAAGAAAGGTATTTTTTATTAAAATATATATATATAGAATCAATAAATACAAAATAAGCATTAATTTTCGTAATAATTGCATTAGTAATTGGATATATTATTGGAAAATGATAAAATAATTTATATGAAATCATCATTTTATTCTAGGCAATTTTAAAGGTGGAGTAGGAGGTAATGTATACCAAAATTCTTCATTTTTATCTTATTAATAATCATTACTTAAAGAATTTCCATTTACAGATCGTTTAGATTAAGTTAATTTGAATGCTTCTTCAGTTGAATTTGTTTTACTAAATTCATTATTGTTATTATTATTATTATTATTATTATTATTATTATTCTTACCAATTACTTTATTTAATGTATACTATACTTCCTTAACCTTTTATAATAATTCCTTCATTTCTTATACTTCTTCTATTAATTCTTTTAATTCCTTATGTTTAGCTGCTTATAAAATCTATAAATCAAGAAATTCAGTTTATTTTTGACTTAATTAATTACCAAAATCTTAAACTTAAGCTTAAGATCTTTATAACTACTTTTCTAATTAATGTAATTCAATTCTTAAATTTGTATTAGTTTCTAATAATTCATCTACCATATTTGTTCTTTCCACATGTTTAAATTTGGCTACTTCTATTTATTTGATTAATTTTGCTTGAAATTTTGTTCCTATTTAAACAGGTTTCTCCAATTCAACAGCAATTATATTTCTAATCATTTATTCTTCATTATTCAGTATTTCCTCTAATTCTTACTAAGTCTATTCAATTTCTGTTGTGATCTTGATTCTATTTTGTCTCTCTTTTTCAAGTACTTTGAAACAATTATTTGAAGTTTCCTTATTTATAATTATAATATACTTCTAATTTAATGAGAGCATCTTCTAATTATTTTAACATTAAATTTATAAAATTAACAAATGAAAACAATGTTAATAATATATATATATGATCAATAAATATACTTAATCAAAATTTTGAAATATTAAGAAACTAACAAACTATTTTTAAATAAATAAATAAATAAAATAGAATGGATCTTTATAACAAACCTAGATAAAGATTTTAAAAGAAATAGATAATCATTTAGTCTATTATGATCATATAAATAATCGAATATGATCATACATACAATCTCGTTGGTAAATTTTATTGTAACATTGATAATGTCTTATCATAATCTTATAGAAGATAATTTTTTTAATTTTAGTGTAATTACAATTTATTAGATATTGGATTGATTGATATAGGTGTTTCTCTATTTAAAATTGGTGGAAGTTTCAAAGGTTTATTCATATATTCATATTTAGGTTATTAAGGTTCAGTTATCTTATTTTCAAATATTTAATTTTAAGGAGTAGGTGAAATAGAATATGATTTAATCCTTTAAGGTTGTTTTTCACTTTCAGATTAATGATCTATTTTGGATTCCAATTAAGAAAGATAAAGGGCTTTGTTATTTTAAGCTCTTAAGTAATCTCTTTCTTATCTTAATTTCTAGGCTTTCTCTTAGTTTCTAACAACTTTACTTGTAGATGTTCCAGGAATGGCTCCTTCTATATCATTTGTAGCAAGTAATCTATCGCCTTATAGATTTCCTCATATTATATAAAAATACTTAGGTTAATCATAATAATTTTCTAATGCTCGATATTATTTGATTTCTCCTTCTTGTAGATTATAATGCTTTTTATGTGAACCATCAAAATAATTCTCTCCTTAAGGAACACAACTATTATTAAAATGATGGAAATCATGTTAATATCTTTTACGACCATATTGAGGATCTTGCTTAGGAATTGTATATCTAGAAAATATTAGTGTAAGAGATTAACTGTAATTTTAAGTTATTATTTTAACGAATATCATATGGATTGATCTTATCTAAATATGAACTCTTTTATTTTGTTTGAGCACCTAAAATGTCAACAGTTAACAATGATCTATCAAATTAATGTAAATTATTCATTTTAATAAAAATTATTGAATATTTTATTTTTTTTATACATATTAAATTTGATTTCTAATTATTATATATCATTTATCTTAACTATGAACCAAAAAACTAATGAATTCTTTAATAGTTTTAATCTTTTAAATCACACGCAAAGGAATCATCATAATCAATCCTTTAGTTCTCCAAATATCTCTTGTCATTTTCATTTAAGCTGGTAACCAGATTATGAAATATATAAAAAATAGTAAAACTTCAAAAACAATAAATATTGCTAATAATTAAGTTTGTGTTATTTCTATATCTTATTTTAATGCTGTTAAGAATTAATCAAGTAAATAACGAAAAGCAACTATATAAAATTATCATTTTATTTTACCTTTTAAAAAGACATTTTACATAATACGTGATTCTGTAGTCTATTTGAAATTATTCAAATTATAGATATAATTAGTTACATTATCAGAATCATTAGTTATATTTCTAAATCTACCCCAACCTCTAGCAGCTACACTAAAATTTACTTCAGGATGTCCATAAAACATATCATAAATAGTCATTATGTACCTAACATTCTCAAAATATCTTGCTATTGCTACTGCCATCCCTTATTATATTGAACCATTTGCAAATGTTTCACAATATTCAATTGTTGTATATCCTTCTTATACAAAAGTATTACAAGGATTAAACATAAAAATAGATTAGAAAGTATCATAATAATTAGAATTCTATATTTCAGAATTTTTAGAATGTTCTTAATGTAAATTTGAATCAACTTCATAATTTAATTATATGTTATTCATAACTACTGAGTATGCATTCTCTAAAAGTATTGGTTCTTCTGGATTTAAAAATAATTATCTTTCACAATTATCAACAAATCTATAATATGATCCACATCTGGCTGTAACATTTAATTCTGGTATCTATTATTTTAAATTATTATAAGTAATTTAATTTAGGAAATAATTTAATAAGAAATATCCTTAAAAAGTAAAAAGAATAAAAGTTATAATTAAAATTTATGAGCGATGAAATGAATTTGTATTTTTAAAGATTTTTTTTTTCCTTTTTGAATTTAAAGTTCTACTTAATTCTTTATGTTAATCTTATTCTTCATCACTTAAATCAGAAGATACTTCTTCTTCTTCCCCTACTTATAAATTTGATATAAAATTTTCACTTTTGTTATATAAATATTTTACAGTTTTTTCTGGAATCTCCATAAATAATTGTAATATTTTTTCTTATATCTAATTTATCTATATAATTAAAATCACAATCATTATTAATTAAATAAAAAAAGAACATGCTGCTACAATCATAAATATAAAAAAGATATTAACATTATTTTCTGTCAAATTCTATATTCCATAAGAATATTAGTTTGTCTCATTTCTATATTAAAATATTATTGCATTCTATAAATTATAAGTTATAAATGTTGCATCTTCATCATCTAATGTCAAATTTTATAATGGTTTATCTCTAACTAAAAGTGCTTTACTAATTATTTATTAAGTAGCTTCAATTAAATCATAATTAGAAAAACTATTTTTTGAAATCCTTACATTAACAACACTTTTAGAATGTAATTCTTCTATTTATTCATTAATGTAAAGTTCATCTAACATTATTTTTTTATTTGCATCTGTTAATGCAAAAATTGAATTATTTAATTCAGTTCTTTATTCTGCTTCATAAATTATAGCTTCAGATTCAGTCATATTCCAAATTCCAATCCTTAACATTTCTAAATTCTAAACATTCATTACAATTTGACTACATTCTTGATTTCTTAAACTTGCATATTCTATAAGATTTAATGAATTTTAAACATTTTCAAATAAAAATAATCCTAAAAAATAGGATGTAAATGATAATGTTAATACAGTTATCATTAATATATTAATAGTCCAACTTAAATAAACTATTACTTTTGGTCTTTAATAATCATTTATTGTAGAATTTAATGCTTTTCTATTTCTAAATACATTATTCCTTTAACCTTATTCAATTTCATCTGGATTATCTGAATTTTTTTAAAATACACTTGAATGTTAAGCTTCATCAGATTCAGAAAAACTCATTCTAATATCATCAATATCTTAAATCCTATTATCAAATAATTTTAATGTTCTTATCCCTTCTGCATAATTTATTTTTTCAACTTTCAACTCTTCAACCTTTTCCTTCTTTTCAGCTTATGTTTCTTCACTTAATCTAGAAGATTACTCCCAAATTACTGTTTAATCAACTCTAGCTGAATTACCTTCTTCTTGATTTTCACCAATATATAATGCTTTTGAAGGATAATATTTAAATTAAAAATTACTCATAAATGTATTTGGTACTACTAATTATTATTATACATCAGGACTTAAAATCTAACTCTATTCATTTTATACTTTCTCTAATTTTATGACATATCCCATTACTTAATCTTAATGTTCATTTGATATTTCAGTTATTTAAATTTAAAATAATATCTAAGTCTAATCTTCTAAATCACTAATATAATATTAAAGATAATTAGAATTCGAAACTATATTTGATTATAAGTTTAAACTAATTACACAACCTGTCTTATTTAAATAATCATTTCTATTATAATTTGAAAACAACTCATGAAAATAGATCTTTCTATGACTAATCATCTTTTAATCTATAAATAAATTACAAATGCAAGATGAAGAAATACATTCAATTACATCATCACTATCTAATATTAAATAACATCCTGTTTTAAAAGTACGTAATGTTCTAAATTATGCAGCAATTAAAATATTTTCATCAATTGATTATAATGCTTTCATATAAATATAACAAGGAAGAATGTAACCTGACTTTAATTTTATATAAACTAATCTCTCCTTTGTAAGTTTTTGTTAATCATTATTCTACATAAACATTTCCATATAATTATCATGAAATTTAGCATAAATTTAAGGAATTAATAAATTTATTTTTCTATTAATCAATTCTGTTTTGTGATATCCAAATAAATTGCAAATACTTAAATTTAAATTATTTATCTAAGCAAATTTATCTGATGAAGTAGATACTAACAAAGTAGGTAATGGTTCAAAATTAATATCTTCACTACTAAAAACTTAAATAGTTTATTTATTTTTCATTTTATTATTTTGATTTTAAAGTACTTTAGATTTATCTAATAATTCTTCTCCATAATCTTTATCTTAAAGTACTTCAATAATAAATTTAGCATATAATCTCATAGCTTTAGGTAAATTTTAAGTCATTTTTTACATTTTATTCCATAATTCTTCAACTTAAGTAATAGCT